ACATCTTCCGCAGTAATGGTCTGCCGCATTTAGTCCACTGAAATGTAGAGATCAATTTCCTTTCTTGATGCTGAAGCTGAGTAAACTTGGGTTATTTCTGGTGCCCCTGAGCTTTGCTGCGTTTGGAAAATAGCGTGTATGTGTACCCAAAATGAGGATTTTGTTGTGCCCCTTCAACAAGAGATCGCGGTGTTCTTTCAGCCCAGGGGAGGAGGCGATGGTCCCATGCCCACCCCTCCCTTCTGGATCCGCCACTGAGGTGAGAGCTGTTCTTGTTTTTTTAACGATATGGACTTCACGGGCGTTTGTTTATTCTTACAGCATCTTCTGACGCTACACGACCGTCCTTGGAAACGCCCCGGCATACTGAGCTTGCGTAAACAACGCAAAAATCAGTCATGATTGACCACCACGTGGAAGGTGCTTTGCACGCTGCATGTTCCGACCATTCATTTTTCACAGCTCACCTTTTTAGGCACGATCCAGACAACCCATTACAGTGACTTTCCGTTATAAAACACTATATAGCTCTACACAGCCATATTTCGGCCGCAAAAAAAAAACGCTGCTGTTGTCACACCCCTAACCCCAACTGACAATAAATAGGGCGACCTTTTCCAACGTTTTTTTCTGAAAAAGTATTGCTCCCCTTATACTTTGCTCAAGGCTCACGGGTCCCAAGTATGCCAGCAGATTGCAGCAATCTAAGACGAATGGCCACCCGCATCGTTTGAAGCCAGCACCTTTTGAGTCTGTTATGTGCGGGAAGAAAATGTCCCTGCACTTAGCCAAATCCTCCTTTTATCAGACTTCCTCTCACCCACTCACTGTCCTTGACCGAATCTTAATGGCTCAGACCTCATTATATATTCCAGCCAATTCACTACATTTTTGGTCTCTTGTGAATTCACGAACCCAAATCAAAGCTGCCCGAATCAGAAGACAAACGGATACTGGGTTTAGTTTAAACATTTTTGCTTGCAGATATTGTTCCAGACATTCAGACGCAGACATTTCTGACCACAGCACTTACACGAAATTTTGGTAGCCAGGTTACACATAAGCCCAGGAGCGTGGCTCAGCGAAATCTGCTCAAAGAGAGCTGAATCCGGCTCAAACGACTAAACTTGCACCAATTGTCAAGTAAAACCCAATGCATCAGCAAAGTTTTATACTACCCTTTCGAATACCGTGGACGACAAAGTCGGGGGTTTGATCCCCTCCAACCGATCACGTGAAACTGCATATGTTCAAAGCAGACTTCTAAGACTGTTTATGTATAATTGCAGCTGTGGTACAGCAGTAGAATATCTGTAATGCCAAAAATTACCAAAATGCCGTCCTCATATGATCGACCTTGACACTTCCTGAAGCAGTCAACTGCTGCAAGCCAGGTACCACCACCTACACTAATTGCAATGCAGGCATCACCATCGGCACTTATTGCAAGGCAGGCACCACCATCAACACTACTTTTCCAAACTGCAGAAGTTGTTCTTAACACGTGCGGTGCACTAGAGTTCCTGCCAGAATAGAGATCTGGAGTCCCTTTGGCGAATCGATGTTTACAAGGTAAGATTCAGCTGGTTTTCTATATTTCCTTCCACTTTACGCTTGAGCTACGAAGTGATCGGAGCTCTCCTAATGCCGTGGCGGCACCAAAAGTTAACAACTTTTGGGGTCAAACTACGTCACGTGTACACCTATAAATATGTGTATGTATATATATATATATACATATATAGATATGTGTGTATGTATCTGAGAATATGTTATATATATATATATATATACATATATATATATATATATATATATATATATATATATATATATATTCGTATATCGGTTGGTAGCACCTTTGACAAGTTAAATGTTGCAAAGCTATGAGCCAATAGCGGTCACGTTCCTATGCTGGAAGGTAGTCTGTCGGTCTGTTCCAAACCAGGACACCGGTTACAACTATTCCAACAACTTTTTGTGCACAAAAGTGCACCCACGCAAGTATAGTTATGTTTTGTTGAATTTTGCTCGAAACATGTCGTTTAAGTGTTCTGATCTCGAAGACATTTAAGCTTAGTCATAGACGACACAGTGTCTGCAAATCACCACGTGCAGAGCGTGACCAAATGCAGCGCCGGCCGATGCGTCGGTCGGCTTGACGACACGCTCTGTCGGCTCGGCGCATCGTCACGTCGGCCGGCGTGTCGGTCGTTGTCGCCACAGACGGCCGCGGCACTGGACGGCCGGCGTGTCGGTCGTTGTCGCCACAGACGGCCGCGGCACTGGACGGCCGGCGTGTCGGTCGTTGTCGCCACAGACGGCCGCGACACTGGACGGCCGGCGTGTCGGTCGTTGTCGCCACAGACGGCCGCGACACTGGACGGCCGGCGTGTCGGTCGTTGTCGCCACAGACGGCCGCGGCACTGGACGGCCGGCGTGTCGGTCGTTGTCGCCACAGACGGCCGCGGCACTGGACGGCCGGCGTGTCGGTCGTTGT